TGAAGCTATATCAGCTCCTCTCTTGGTTCTCACATTCCATGTCCTTCTGAACTTTTTGTTGATACAGATATGGTCAATTTGGTTTTGAGTAGTGTGGTCCGGTGAAATCCATGTGGCTTTGTGATGCGTTTGTGCGGGAATATTGTGCCACCGATGACCAGTTTGTTGAAGACACATAGGTATGCAAATCTCTCACCATTTTCGTTTCTTTCTCCAAGTCCATGTCGTCCCATGATGTCTTCATATCCAGTGTTGTCCATTCCAACCTTGGCATTCAGGTCTTCCATACGAATCTTCAAATCGTTTTGGTGAACATTTCTCGACGATTGACTGCAGCCTTTCGTAGAATTGATCTTTAACGTCGTCACAGTAGTCATTGGTAGGTGCATAACATTGGATGACGTTCATTGTTATGTCCTCTTTCTTTGTTTTGAAGGATGCTTTAATGATCCTGGGCCATGAGATTCCCATCCTATCAGTGCCTTTTGTGCATGTTTGGACAGCATCAGTGCAACTCCTTGTGTATGTGAAGCGTTTTCCTCTTCATGACCAGAGTATAACAGGAGTTCCCCTGAAGCTAGTCTCAGTCGTCCTACTTGTGTCCAATGTGTTTCACTGATGCCAGCACCTCGAGGTTGTATCTTTTCATTTCTGCCGCAACTTGAAATAGTCTTCCAGTCTCCCACAATGTACGAACGTTCCATGTACCTAAAAAAATGGTTGCTCTGATTGTCAGAAGAGGCATCGCCCCGTGACTTCCGAGGGAACTCGGCTTTCATCACGAGACGTCATAATTCTTCTTCCAACTCCCAGGGCAGAGTTAAAATGGTTTGAATTATTTTTTCTGGTTAGCGTTTTTTTGGCAAGTTAGTTTTTGACGGAATGGGGACGTCGGAGAACACTTATTAACAGAATCAAAAATATACAATCAAACATGCGTATTTATACAATTATACATATAATCGATATTGTCGTTTAAATATTTGAATATTAAATCCAATAGTTCATCGATTGACTGCTCTTGAAATATTTAAGCATTTAATCGATAAGTTCATCAATCCACAATGTGCATGGCTTTCTTCTCGATTGGCTATCCCAACACCTCCCCAGAATAAGATTTTTTTCTTGTAGTCTTACGACTGGTTTGCGTCGGCGTTCCATTCTGGTTATAGTTTCTCGAGTTAATGTCCCCAACCTTCCCTTTTCTTCGGCATTCCGGGACAAATGTGTAGTTGTCGGTTTTGTGATCAACTCCAGGGGTAGATTCACGCGATTATCACCCGAGCGTGCCATTCTTTCGTCCCTTCGCAGTTGGTTCGTGTGTCTAACACAGCTTCCGAAAGCTCCTATGATTCGATACAAAACTCTTCCTAGTCTTTGGACGACTGTTCCTGGTTCCCATTGATTTTTACCACGATATGTTTTTAGGAACACTTTATCGCCCACGTTGAAGCTGCGAATATTTTGATTTGGCCTATATTTATTCGCTCTTTTAGGGGGCAACATCGCGTTAAAAATAGTCCGAATACGTCTTCCAAACATTGCTTCGGCTGGAGACTTCCCCTCTGGGACCATAGGGTTCGGAGTGCTTCTGTAAGCCGTTAAAAATCTCGTGATTACTTGGCTAGTTGGCCCCTCGTCTCCCCCTTTCAGTAAGGCTCTTTTGAAGGTGTCCACGAAGCGTTCAGCTTGTCCATTGGATTGGGGGTGGTAAGGTGGGGACCGTAGATGCGTTATGCCGTTTGAACTGCAGAATCGCGTGAATGAGTCGGCAACAAATTGTGATCCATTATCAGTTACCAATGTTTCTGGCACTCCGAAACAACTAAATAAGGTAGAAAGCTTCTGAATAGTTTCTGAGGCTGTACAATTCGGCATGCTGTATATTTCTGGCCATTTTGTATACGCATCTACAATAATTAGAAACATTTTACCTTGGATTGGGCCAGCGAAACCTGCATGAATTCTCTCCCAAGGTCCAGTAGGTTTCTGCCATTGTTGAGGCTCGCATTTCGAAGGGTTTTTTGCGGCTTGTATGCATGAAAGGCAGTTTCGGCATTTGGTTTCTATATCATTATCCTTCGAGGGCCAGTAGGCGTAGCTGCGCGCCAACGATTTCATCTTGTTTATTCCAGGGTGACCACTGTGAAATTGCTTGAGGGTTTTGTGTCGCAATAATTTTGGAATGATAATTCGGTCACCAAACATAATGCATGAGTCGATAATAGTGAGTGAATCGCGCCGGCGGAAATATTGTTGCAGTTCTCCTTGTAGACGACGATTCGGCCACTTTGAGAGGATATAACCTTTGACTTCTTGTAGTATTTTGTCATTTATTGTAGCCTCTTTAATAGCTTTGAATGTAACTGGTAGACCATCTACTGCGTCTTTCAACACTCGATGTACTTCTGACTCAATCGCAGCCACCAAGATATCTTCTTCCTGATTCGCTTGAGAACCAATGAGTCTAGACAAAGCGTCAGCTTGTCCGAAAGAAGTAGTAGGTTGGTACTTAATTTTGAAGTCGTAGCCCAATAATGTGGTTACCCATCGTTGCAATCTGTTCGCCGTATAGACTGGGATCCCTTTCTTTGACCCAAATATGGCTAGCAGCGGTTTGTGGTCAGTTAAGAGTGTGAAGCTGCGTCCAAATATCATCTTGTGAAATTTTCTTACGGCAAAAATAATTGACAAAGCTTCTTTCTCAATCTGACTATACTTACGTTCTGTTGTAGTTAAGGACCTTGCTGCATGCGAGATTGCCTTCTCTGACCCATCAGGCATGATATGCGAAATGCTTGCTCCAATGCCGTAGCTTGAAGCATCTGACGCTACTACAATGGGGAGGGATGGGTCATAGTGTGTCAGCGACAGATCCGAGAGTAGCAGTTTTTTAATCTTCTCGAAAGCAATTTGACAACTATTGGACCAACACCACTTTACGTTCTTTGCTAAAAGACTGTTTAATGGGGCGCGTAGACGATGAAGGTCAGGGATAAAAGCTCCATAATGACTAACGAGCCCCAGAAAGGATCGAAGTGTGGAAACATCTGTCGGTCTCGGCATTTCTTTCAAAGCTTGAGTGTTTTCTGGGTCTGGTTTTCTCCCGTCTTTATCGATAATAAAACCGAGGTAGCGTACACTCTGCATGAAAAAGTCACATTTTTCCACACGAAGCCGGAATCCATATTCAGCTATTCTTGATAGCACCTGGTCGAGCTTCTTTTCTAAGTCTATTATATCAACGCCCATAATTATTATGTCATCCAGGTAAGCTGCAACGCCAGGGAGATCATGTAGCATAGTATCCATCACCTGTTGAAATATGGAGGGCGCGGTTTTGACTCCAAAAGGTAACCGATTATATCTGAATAGGCCCTTATGTGTATTAATAGTAAGCAGATCTTTACTTTCATCAGCGACAGGAATCTGTAAATAAGCTTCCGATAAATCCAGTTTTGCAAACACCTTGCCTCCATTTAGCTTAGCGAAAAGATCTTCAGGTATTGGCTTTGGTACATTCGCCTAACGCTTCCGAAAGTACTTCATGATGCCTTTTTATAATGGCATTTCTCAGATTTGACTCTAAAGGGTTATTGATTCTAACTCGGCTGCAGATGTTGTTGATAGAGTGGTCTGTTAATTTTAATGCATCTATGAGATCCAACCCCAATAAATCGAGGTCTGGGTTTTTAGTTAAGTATACAGTTGCACTCGTTGTGGCCTCATTTTTTGAAACAGTGCACAATATTTTTCCAACAATATTTAACTTACCACCAGATGCGCTGTGTGCTAGTTGCTTCGTTTGGTGAACTGTAGGTTTTCCAATTTTCTCCCAAGTTTTTGGACTGATAAGGGTGATATCAGATGCTGTGTCAAGTTGAAGACGGATACGGTGTGAATTCATATCCAAAGTCACATACTTTCTTCTTTGGTGAATTCTTGTCTGGTTATGAGACACCAATACTCGGTTTATTGGCTTACCAGAACTGTATTTCTTGGAATCAAATTTCGCGGAGTAATGTCTGCGAGTTTTTTTTCTACATCGAGATTCTTTGTGACCCTTTTTGTGACATTTAGTGCAAACATAATCTTTGTATGGACAAAACTTCTTGTAGTGCCAACCTCCACATGACCAGCATGGAGATGAGGGCTGGTTGTCTGTGCTTTTGTGATGCTTTTGTGAGCCGGAATTTTTCTTTTCACTAACGGCATGCACGTATGATGCGCGGCCATTGTTTTCGACCATGGAGGTATCATGCTTCAAATTTACTAATCTCTGGCACTCTGCAGTTATTTCTTGAAGCGAGATGTTTGGGCACTGCTCAATTTTACTTAAGATTCTGGTTCTTATATCAGCATCTTCGGGAGATTGTAAGCTGCACACAAACACAAGGCACTTAAACTGATCTTCCGTCATTGATGATAATTTAAATCGTTCGCATTCACGATTTACTAAGCCGGCGTGCTTTACCCAATCAT